AGCTAAAAGCACAAATTTCCAGGAGAGTGCTCGTGGACACCTGCTCCTGGTTGCAGTTACACGTTACCTGTTAGTAAACTCCCTGTTGCCGTACAACACGGCTCCTCCGTCTGTGGTTTAAATTGTCCTGAACCGGAGTGACTGCATGTCGTGGCATCCTTCTTTGTACACCGGTAAAACACTGTCAGATAAAAACCACACATACCTACTTAAAATAAAAGCTTCTCACAGCCAGGTAACAAACCCGGTGTGATTATTTGAGCCAGGTGACGTGGCTAATGTTTTCTTCTCAGAGGTGCACACAGTGGTACACGGGGGTCAGTCTCAGCATGCCCCCACACCAGAGCACGGGTCTCCCCCCTGCAAACAAAATGCCTGGAAGCGGTGAGGGGTGAGCACCAGCTTCTGATCCACCTCCTTTACTCGGGACATTTGTTTCCGTGGTGAGGTGATGTGCTCTCATCAATTACATCTCAGGGATTTGTAAACAAACCTTCAATTGGAAGAGCAGTGGGACGTGCCAGGAGTTGCGTCCTTTCCAGAGCAGGTCTCTCTGTGGTTGGGATGGGGAGCCAGGAAAAGAGTCATGTTGGCAGGACTAACTGCGCTTTAAAAACCAGAAACATCTAATTTCTCACTTACTGCGGTGGTTCTGGGGTTTGTTTCGCTGCTGAGTTGCTGAGATTACACTTTGCTATATGTACCATCTCATGTAAAAAAAGACCAAATAAAAGAGGAGTCCCCTATGGGACACTCCTGAAAAAAGAGCGTATTTTCAGTACAAGATTAGCCACAATATTGTGCCTTTGCATTTTGCACACAGAACATCTGTGAATTCTTTCGGAATTGAATGAAGTGCAGTGTGACATCCCACCCTGCCTTCTCCCACCTGGTCTTTTCCTTCTGTCCTCTTCAGCCCATCTTCTACTTTGCTCCTTTAACCTAAACTCTCTGCTTTTCCTCAGTTCCATGTCCCTCATCTCCCTCAAGTCATCCTCTCCTTTGCTAATCTTAAATGACATTTATGGTCCCTACTTACTTCTGGTCAAAAGGCCAAACCTGTTTTCAGTTCAGCCACGACCCTGGAATTTTCCACCCATTTTTTTAAGTATCTATATTCTTGCTTTCTCCAATGCTACCAGTCAGGTTTAGAAACAGTCCCTTACATGTGTGAGCTCAGCTAACTTCTCCTTTCCTCTTAAAACTCTCCTTTGGAAAAAAATCAGATGACAACAGCTCAGTTACCAATTTGTTGAGATTCTCACCAGCTGCAGCCATTCATCAGGTGGTACCATTCCTCTGCTCCCATCACCTATTTCTTGCCTTATTTGGACTGAAAACTACTGGTAGCACATGCCTGGTTTGAGTTTCAGAGCAGAGTGGACTCCTATGGTCAAAGCATCCTTTTATATATGGAAACAGGAGGAATGTAATCCTTCTAAAAACTACACTCAACCCAGTATGTTTTAAGGAAGTGCATAAAACTATGTATACTGGTGTGCGTATATATAAACCCATAGAGTGTTTGTGTGTTCATCTAACTTTTCTAATAAAATAATCTCACGTTTTGCTTGTGGAAGAACACACACAGGAAACTGATTGTGCTTACGTGTGAAAATCCCCTATTAGTTTAAATGAATGCTGTGCATTTATTTTTCTTCAGACAAATGCAGGTCCCCTACAATGTGAGAGTCATAGTTCTGAGTGTTTTCACGTTTGGGTGCCTTCGCAACTGCATATGTACTCCAAAACACACGTTTGAGAGGTGGTAGTCTTTGAATACAGACTTTTAATTTTCTTCAGCAAACTCTTAGCTCCAGTTAAATTCATTAAACCGATACATATTCTCACTCACGCTCTGTATATACACATATGTGTACACACATACATATGCATTTGCATATACATATATATGCACACGCGCACAAACAGGAGAGCCGAAAACATTGCCCTCTGCTCAGAACCTTGCAATATGTTTGCCTGCTCGTTCTTCTGTTTCAGACAAAACCAAGAAGACTCCTTCTCCATCACATGTTCACGAAGGCATCGACAAGTGCTGGACAGCATGGGGTTGGTACGCGAACCAGCTGCGACAGCCCATGTGCTTACTCAGCAGCAGGTAAACGTTCACACGTTTGAGCGGAGGACAAGGGCTTTGCTCCAGGTATGGAGCCCAATCATTCTGCATCTCAGAAAAAGTTAAGGCTTGAGAACCTGGTGGCCTAACAGTCAGGTTTCCATGGATACGAACCTTACTGTGGGTGTGTTTCGAAGCGTCACATAACCACCTAGGAAAGTTCCAAATAAATTTGCTCCAATGTCATCTCAAAAGACAACATTCCCAGTCTAGCAGAGAAATCCTAAGAGCAGCAATTACTTCTGTTTCAAAATACCAAATCTCAGCTTTACTAAAACTGGTCTGATCTCCCTAGGGACTTAAACAGAAAACTATTCTGCATTCTCTCATTCCCTAAAAAATATTATTGTGTCGCACACAAAACACAAACTATGTAATGAGATATTCAAAACTGTATTGGACAAACACTGAGTAGGCTGTGAAGATGCATGCTTCTCACATTCCCAGAAACGGTCATAGAATCATAGAATCATAGAATGGCCTAGGCTGGAAGGGACCTTAGAGATCATCTAGTCCAACCTCCCTGCCATGGGCAGGGACACCTCTCAACTAGATCATGATACTCAAGGCTCCGTCCAACTTGGCCTTGAACCCCCCCAGGGAGGGGGCAGCCACAACATCTCTGGGCAATTTATTCCAAAGTCTTGCCGCCCTCGTACCATTAAAGTTTCATCAACAAATGGAAACTGAGTTGTTTTCCAGCTCTTAACGTGTGAATCTTTCTTCTTTGGGTCTTAGACAAAACAGGAACTCTGTTCAACGGCATCTGAGACCCCTCCTTTTACCACTTCTTTTTTTTTTTTTTTTTAAGTTGGAAGTCATGACCCTGGAAGCATTATTGAGCACAAACTGTTCTCATATATCTCAAGGGGAGTTTTCAAGTGACATCAGCAAGACCTGAATTTCAGCCCTTCTGTTTGACTACATTTTGTGAAATGCCCAGCAAAATGGGGTTTTCCACATGACTGTGACGTTCGGATAGCCCTTCCACAGAAAGAAAGGATTAAGACTTGGGGAATATCCACTTGCATGTCCCTGATGCCACTCAGTATGTTTTAAAATTCCAAAGAATAAGTGCTCATCCTTAGAGTAGGGCAACATCTGAAAGGGCACAGGTCATATTTAATTTATTCTGGACTAGGTGGACTTTTACTTCCTAAAGACAAAATTTAACTTCTGACTGCTACTTTTGATAAAATAGTTGTGAAGGTAGAATCTGCATTCAAAGAATTTGTCTCCAAATTAAAACCTGTTCTTGTTTCAAAGCATTTAAGTAGTTTGCATATACAAATTATTGTAGGTCTTTTTTTCTTACATGTGCCCTTTGCTTTGTAAGACAGTGGGTTTCCAGAGTTCTCTGGGTACAGAAACGTCCCCAGCCTACGCACACAGGGAGCCACTCAGCTTCCCGCAAACAAAATCTTTCAATTAAAAAGCAGACTTTGCCTAAATAATGTGATCGTAGCAGTGAGGCAAACCCTGAGGGAGGTGGATCAAAGTCCAGGAAAACACACAGTCATTCCAAAACCCCCTTACTTCCCCCACTGGAAAATACTGAAAAATACACATAGGACATTGACTTTACTAAAAATTACGTCAAGTGCTGAAAACTACATAAATTTGATACAATTTCTGGTTAAGGACTTGTACACCTGAAGGATTTTTTTCAGTTTTATCAGTCATGTAAGAAACAAAAAGAAAGGTATCTCCCTCCTTCCCTAAATCTTTTCCTGTAACTTCCAGGTGTATTTTCCAGGCCAAGTGAGACTGGGCAGATCTGTACTTTGGTACACACGTGTTCGCTTGGAATTCCAGAACATCCTTCTCTCTTCTGTTTTCTTTCACCTCCTCCCCTTTGCACCTGCTATCACCTGTGTTACACTGCTAATAACCTCTATCTTATTCTGAATGTATGTATGTATTAAATATGCCTGTGTATATATAAACAGACACGTATACACAAGATATACAAACAAGTACATACAGGAACATACATCAAATGCTTGAGATACATGTGCAGGTTGGTTTCACGGTGTCGCAGTTTGGAATCTTGTATTACTACTTCTGTTGGGTTTTATAGAGCTGTTCACCTCCCTCCAGCTCACCTCCTGCAACTCCTGAGACCGTGATCATAGAATCATAGAATGGCCTAGGCTGGAAGGGACCTTAGAGATCATCTAGTCCGACCTCCCTGTTTTGGGCAGGGACGCCACCTCTCGACTAGACCTGGCAGCACATGAGGTGCTAACACTGAGCATTTCCAAGAGTCAAGCCAAGCAAACTTATTTATTAATCCCAACTTCAAAACTAGTGTTGTACTTCCTTGGCATTACTGTCTTGTTACCTCCTATATTAGCCTGAGTCACCGTTAAAAGTTAATATTCCCACCTCTGATAAACATGAAGTTGTTTCGGACAGTGAGGCTTCAGCAAATGCAGGGTTATCCCATCTTTGACAGTAGAAAACTAAAACTATATTTATATATAAAAGAGTTAGCTTTTTATAATTTTAAGATAGTATGTAGTCAGCTCAAAAAATGGTACCAGCACATAGGGCACTGAGCGTATGTTCATCTTTACAGAAGTCGGTCCGAATTACACGTGGAAGTCATTCAAATAATTTCAGTTCTGATCTTACTGTATCATTTGATTCACATTTATTCACAGAATCACAGAATGTTAGGGGTTATTGCTTCCAGTGAGGATCTTCATGATCTGTATCCAATTAGCAATCCACTTAGCTTGTAAAAATTTAAATTTACACATACCATAGCTTGCAATATGCACATGAATTTTCTCTCGTCCTATCTGTGTGTTATGTGCTGAATGACAACTTTTATTTGAAGAGGAATTCAAAAAATAACATATTACAAGCATTAATAAAACTTTTAAAAAAATGACAAGGTAGTCCCAGAACCCTTTACTGAGATGAAAATGAAATGATCTTCAAACCTCTTATTACTGTAATAAAAAAATCAAGTACTGCAAAATAACATGTAAGCTGGAGAAAATTAGACTGGTAAATGAAGAAAATATAATTTTCTTCATAGATAAATTTAGGTGTTGTGGTTGTCAGAGCTGCTTTTCCTAGTCATTAAGTCTGATAACATGTCTAGCAAGGATTTACAAGAAAAAAAACCAACCTACTTTATTTTAAAAATAAATTTAGGCAATATCCAGTAATAAGTAGAAGCTAAAGTTACTTTGAAAAGGATAACCAAACTAGAAACCATCGAGTGATCTGAAGGCTTGGGAACAATTCTCATCATTCGTTAACATCACTTTGAATCACCAGTCACATGGAGCCGGTTTCTCTTTTCTGATGCTCTTGCGGGGACGACCTCCTTGAGTCTGTCCAGCAGGTGGCTTTGATCCTCTTTCAGACACCTCCAAACCCATAAAGCGAAGTCCTTTCGTGCAGAAAACCATCAGTGCTGCAGCAGAAAGTTAGTGGCTACGTTTAAGTCATTATTTGAAGCCCTCAGAGCTTCTAGAGCGTCTCCCCTGGAAAATCCCATTTCCATAAGACGTGCGACCTGGACAAGAAAGAACGTAAAATTGCTTTAAAAAAGGAGTTTTGTTCATGCCATGTGCGCATGAGTTAACAGTGTTAGAGGCCACTTTTCCACTGATCACACTGTTACCTTTCCAGGTGACCTTTCCAGAAAGCAAGCGAGCATGGCTATGCACTGTCCCAAAGGAGTATCTGGGAGAGCATGCTTGAAAACACTGCCACGGAGATGACTGCTCTCTGCTACTTTATTCAAAACCGACCGTTTGCTGAAAATGCCACACCTCTATTTCCCTAGCCGGCCCAGTTTTGAAAGAAGAGTGAAATAGAAAGTATGGCACCACACGTGACGACTATGATCTGACTTTTGGGGCTCGCTGCTCTCACCAAGAACGAGACTTCAAGAAGCCAACACTGACCAAAATACAGAATTTTACAGTGTGTGGCCAGACACCCTTAGCTCTACTTCTCTCAGAAAGTCTCTTACTTCTCCAGTGAGCATTAAAAACCTCAAAACTACCCCTCAAAGCTACCCCTAAACCAGAGGCAGTACAATCCTTAAAATGGGTTCAGTAAAATTCTTGGAAGGATTCTACCTGGTCTCAAAACAGCGTAAGCCAATGACACTGAAGGAAGAATCACCTGGAAAAGGGCACATTAAGACAGTAATTTTAGTAATCACTAACCACTTGATCCATGCCTTTTTATAATACCATGTACTTGATGCTTAACCTTTTTGCTCTGTGCTGACAGATATTCCAATTCCCATGCGCAAAAAGCAACGTATGTGTAACCAAATTTAATTTATGGTTAAATTCCAATCTAAAGTACAGTTAAAATCTACAATTCTCAGTCAGGTTTGACTGAAAGTCACAATATAACTCACTTTTATAGTTAAGCTTCTAAAGAGGAGGAAAAAAAGACACGGCAGAGGGAGCGAGAGGCAGGTGATATTTAACCGTGGCCGCTGGCAGCATAAAGCATTGCCCAGCCTGCTCCTAACGGGCTAGTGACCAGGTATTGCAGCTCCTAAGCCTGGAAGTCCAGAGCTATGGGAGGTGCCTGAGAGCCACCACTGCTCCTCCGCTGCTGCAGCTGAGCACGAACGGTGCAGAGGCCGTTTACGCCTCGGGAGGAATCTTCCCAGGGTGTAGGAGCCACGTGCACTGGTATTGAAACTACGTTAAAAGCCTTTCAAAAGAAAGACGCCATTAAAAGTGACCTCCCCTTCCTCTAAGACGCCTCCGGAACTCTCAGTATTTTTAATCTTCTCTGCTTTGGCAGCTTACTGAGAAATATACTACTTCCAAGTACGTCCAGAGGCGGGCGGGGGTCCTCCTTCTCTTAAGCTAAATGCGTCATTACAAACTGTTTGCAAATCTTGGTCATCAGAATATCAAATATGGTACTCATCATTTTTGTGCCTTTCCCCTTTTTTCGCCCCTTTCAACCCAACATCGGTTTCTAACCTTCCCGTAGAGAGAGAAATGAATTGTTACTTTCTACACCTCTGCAACAATAGTGCAACTTCAAACTGGATTTCATAACCTGTAACTTTCTCAAGTTTCCTCTGTCTGATTTTTCATCTAAGACTGTGTTTTTTATGAGAAAAAGGGCAGGCAGTGGAATAAAAGCTAACCACAGAAATACATTTCCAAAGAAAGGTTTTTATTGCAGTTGCCATGAATTCTAACCTTAAGAAGTGGTGGATGGAATTGCAATGTTCCCATTTACAGAAACACCCAGCGAGTATCGTGGGGAATAGATCCTAACAACAAAAAGCTCATCTTTTTCTAACAGCAAAAAGATTCACCCGATTATATTTTAACCACAGGAATTGAATCCTGCTCCAGGAAACAGAGATGTATATTGCTAACGGTAATTTAAGGTTCTAAAAAACCCACAAGAAATGCAGAGATTTTTGCACCAAAAGCATTGCAAATGCTTGCAGGTTTTATTCTGAAGAATAGAAGGAAACCTTGCATTTCTGCCGTCCTGAGACAACTCCTGCAGTTATTAGTACAGTCCTGAGAAACCAAAGGCGCTTCTATTTCTTTTTTTCTTTGCAGGGTAACCAGACAGCATTGCAAATGACAGCAGTCAGGTGAGCTCTACAACTTCAATGCACGAGAAAATGTAAGTGCATCTTGCTTTCATAAACCTGGACCTAAATGCTTTGGATCAGAATCCAGCATAAGTCAGAATAATACCTATTTCACTAGTTCCTGCCCACTCATGAAAGCTCCCATAAGCAGAATTTGTCAAAAAAACCCCCAAAAAAGCAAACCAAGCCAGGAGGGAAATCTTTCGGTCCACTCTGTGCCTGGCACCGAGTAGGCTTTCAGGCTAGCCAAAACTAAGTTTTTGGGTTTTGTCTCAGAAAGTGCTCTTTGATGTAGTGTTTTTCTTTTTCATTGTTGTTTTGGGGTTTTTTGTTTTGCTTTTGGGTTGTTTGGGGACTTTTTTTTTCCTTTTTGGAGGCAGCCCAGCAGGTTTGCAGGCAAAACCACCAGTGCAGTTACAGTTTTGAACATTCTGAACACAAGCTAACATTGAATCAAAACTAGAAATCAGATCACATCAAAGATTTCTGTCTGGGACAAGCTCACTTTAAATGTAACTAGAAATGACAGTGTGGTGCTAGCAAGTGTTGATTTATCTCCTTAGAAAAAGGAAAAGAAAAACTTACCCTTGAAACCTAACTCTTGTTCAAGGGCAGCAGACACCTTAGACTATAAAATGGCCAATGCAGCTACCTGTAGACAGGCTACAACCTGGGGAGCTTGAATCTGTTTGTTACTCTTACTTCTTGGAAACATTTGTTTTATCAGATTTTAGTAACTCCCACTAGTGAAACTGTCTCATCTTTACATACAAAAGACAAGCAGTTACACATAAGAGCAGAAACTCCCAAGTCGATCTGTAACTCTGGTTTGGATGGTAATGACGATTCGCTGTCTCTGGTTTGTGACTGTTATCTGACATTCTAATTTGTGCTGCTATAGAGAACGTTTAAGAAACTGTGTCAAGAGAGGACAAAAAATTAACAGAGGTAATTCCTAACCAGTTTTTAAATGCCATTTTAAAATAGAAAGTGTTTACCTGCTCTTCAGAAACTTCAGTAGGTGGAGGTGTGTCTTGTTCAGACGGGCGCTGATCTTGATAATTCGCATTATGTCTATGACGTAAAGGAGGAAACAGTCTATTCCAGTTAATCATCCCACCCTGAAAACAGAAGCTGCTGTAAGTCTTTGCAAAAAGAACTACAGATATTTTTAAACAAAGAGAGTATCCACCTCATAATATGCAGGGCAAACGTTCAATAAAGCATTTTATTTTAATCAACAAGAACTGCTGCAATCTCTTATGAAGTCAAAACTGAGATTTGTAACTGCTTTACTGTATTAGAAGTAATCACTGTAAATTAAGGAAAAGTGCGAACGGGAGGAGGAGAGGATCATAGAATCATAGAATGTTCGGGGTTGGAAGGGACCTCTAGAGATCATCCAGTCCAACCCCCCGAGCAGGATTCCCTAGGGCAGCCACACAGGAACGCATCCAGGTGGGTTTTGAAAGTCTCCAGAGAAGGAGACTCCACAACCTCTCTGGGCAGCCTGTGCCAGGGCTCTGTCACCCTCACAGTAAAGAAGTTTCTCCTCATGTTGAGGTGGAACTTTCTATGTTCCAACTTAAACCCATTATTCCTTGTTCTATTGCTGGGCACTACTGGGAAGTTATTGTCCCCTTCCTCTTGACACCCACCCCTCAGATATTTATATACGTTAATAAGGTCCCCTCTTAGCCGTCTCCTTTCAAGGCTAAACAGCCCCAGTTCTCTCAGTATCACTCCATCGGAGAGATGTTCAAGTCCCTTAATCATCCTCATAGCTCTCCCTTGGACTCTTTCCAGTAGGTCCCTGTCTCTCTCGAGTTGGGGAGCCCAAAACTGGACACAGTATACCAGGTGTGGTCTCACCAGGGCAGAGTAGAGGGGGAGGAGAACCTCCCTAGATGTTTCACATCAGTTGCAAATGATCTGGGTTTACTGCAGTGCTAGATTTCTGAGGCTGAAGGACTGCTCTCTCTACCGACAGGGATTTACCTGGCAAGAGATGCAACAGTCCTGCAAGGGCTTTGCAAGACTTCCACTTGAATTAATCAGGGAAAACGAGCGCAAGAAATAAGTGGAGGGAAAAAGAACAAATGGATTCGCATCAGCAAAACCAGGAACAAGCCCGACGTTCAGGACACTGTGATTCGCATGCAAGCGACTACTTCTGTTACAGACATACAGACCACCTTGCCTAACTCCCCGCCTGTTAAATATCATTGCAAAACCCGGCCATACTCCAGCGCCAAAACATTTCGTAACTACTTAGTAATAACACAAACACACAACAGTAACACACACACGGTGTAAATCACAAAACTGAAACTTTTAACAACCAAGCTTCAATCTTGTAATAAGAAGACATTTATAATATAAAGGACAAATACTAAAGAACGACGAATCCTCAACTTGCAAGCTTAAACATTTTTAAGGGATTTTGTATCATACCAAAACCACAGGCTCTGCAAAGACAGAGGAAGAGCGACCCTCAAATCTCTTTTCTATCCAACTTGTTAAAAAAATCTTTTGCAGTTTGTGGTGGTGTCCTTTTCCTCCTCCCCTGCTCCCTCCGTTACTATGGAGAAGATCCCCCCTCCCTTTCTGTATATATAGGACACCGACTTCCTTCCTCTACTTGCTCTGTTTTAGTTCTATAATGCCATTTCTCAGAAGACCTTCCTCTTAAGAGTGTTTTTTCTTTTCTTCTCACAGCGAGGGTTCTTCCTGCCTTTATGCACCCCGAGAGCATTAAATGCTCGCTGCTCAGTCAGATCATCAGCAGCTAAACCTGCTCCTAGACAAAAAAAAAACCCTCTACCACATTTATTTAGTGTTCCTGTCCTTTCTTTTTTTTCTGCCTTTCACTCCAGAGGAGACCCAATCAGCCCAGACACCACAGGGGGCAGTGCAATAGCACTTAAAAAAACATTTAGGGTGTTGCAAGGTTTGAAACACATGCTTGTGAAGTTCTTCCAGCCCCTTATACACGGGAGTGCGTTTTTCCCTCTGAAGACGTGCAGTCAGTAGGAGTCATCCCTGGTCTTCAAGACACATTTTCCACTGTTGTTGATTCTGAATATAAAAAAATGATTAAGTATCTGCGTTACCATATTGCGTACTGTGTAAAACATTTGCTTAGAAGTCATGAGGTCTTAACCAAAGCGTTAGAGTAGCAGAGTGAAAAGGAGAATTGGTTTGTAGTTTAAACTTGGGAAGGGATCTCAGACCTTCTACTGACACCACTGCACTACTCTGTGGTCTTGGAAAATCACATGTCATGTACTTCCCCGTCTATAATTTCCCCTAACGCAGAATTACGTTAAGTTTTAATTCACCTACTTTGACTTTCTGAAAGTCTACTAGTCTCTACAGTTCAGCAAGAACACTACACTGATGCTGCTTTGCCTGATTTTATTCTTTTGAGAGACCTGAGGAGGAGAAAATATCGCTTCCACGAGTTGTATGCTTTGAATTGTTTAACTGAAAAATGCTAACAGGACTATGACATGTTCCTCTGAAGCACCAGAAGCCACACAGAATAATGTGTATCAAATATAAAATCTACAGTAAATGTATTTAGCAGTATTCCAGTGTATGTGAAGACTGAAATGACTGTACCTTTCCAGCTGTGCCCTCAGCTTCCATACTGAGCTGCCTATTCCAGTTTGGTTTTGCATTCCCCCTGTCCTGTGTGCTGTCACCTAATACTACAAAGAGACTTGTCTGTTTCCTTACCCTAAGCTTACAATCATTGCCAATGAACATACACAGAATTCACTATCTGCAATAAAGACGTGCTAATTCTGCACAAAGTTAACTAATTTTGAAGGTTTACAGCAGATATCTTCATACTACAGGTGTGGACTGACGTATTCAGAAGAGTTCCATGTGAAAACTGCTAACGCTTTCCCAGAAATTACAGACCAGACAAATTAGATGAAAACAGCTGTGAGAAGATCTTTTTCAGTTACTCTCAGAATATTTCAGTTACCTTTGGAAATCGTGACAAACTACATTAATGAGGTAAGAATATCCAACATACAACAACAAGTATTACAGGCTGAAACTCTTAATGGGGTGTGGACACTGATGTTTACGATTAATCCCAACATTGTGGTCCACTTCACATCTGCGTACTACTTTACAAACTGCTCCCAAATCAGGCACATCAGGCTTCTTTATCTTAACTGCAAGAAAATTGTTTCCCCTTACAGACTTGCCTCTAATTACTTGACGGACATGCACGAAGTCAGTCTCTAAAGAGCACAAGTTCGGGGAACTGCAGCAGGAACTATGGGACTGGGACAACTCTATAAAGTAAAGGCAAGGAAAAATTTGGAAGTGCAGCTGATGTCTTAGATGTACAGAAAGATGAAGATCAAGGCTATGGATTTCCAGTGTGGATGGTGACTGCATGAAAACTGTCAGACGACCCTAACTATCACAACAAAAATACATGAAGATCTGTGAAGTTTAATTTGACCCAAAGCAAACAGAGAAAATGTCTTTAATTGCATAAATATCGCAAATTCCAGTTAAAAAAATGCGTAGAAAGATATTTCCAGACTAATAATCTGCCTTGCCTCACAGACCTCCCCTTCATAATTTTGTGATTTCTGCATTACAGTGGTTTTCGATCGTGCTAACACACTTAGAAAGTCACAAAGATTTCACATGAAGATATCCAGTCTGATGAATTTATGTGACACTTCTAAACCATCTGAGAGTCCCTCCCGGGGAATCAGTAAAAAACATTTATGCGTTTCACAAGATACTCGAACCCTGGCACCAGCACCCAGCAGCACAGATGATCTCACATTCATCTCCTTACCCTCCACAGGAGCCTTGTCTCATGGATAACAGAGCTCTCTGGAGTGGTTCAAAACAGGGGCAGAAAAGGAGCCACTAACAAAGCAGTGAGGACAATCAAGGGTCGAGTACGCAAGCTCCCTTCCTGAGCAGCACCTTCAGTGCCAAGTGTCTGCCAGTCTAATCCATTTAAGGAGATCCAGGCAGTTGCCCTGTGATTATGGTTTGTTGGTTTGTTATAAAAAGAATTAAGTTTAATACTCAATGGTTTGGAGGCTGGTGACTCAACGGTTTGGGGGCCATGACTCAGGACTAGGTAAGGAGGATGCATTTAACCTCTAACAGAGCCACTTTCTACAACCGAAGGACTCAGGCCATCTTGCACGAGATTATCTCAGGGGACATTTTTCTTTGTCCTGAATCTCAGGTGTCAGGGAGCAGCAAGTGCAAGACAGAAGCTAAGCTGAGAGCCAAAGGTGACAAGGCGAGCAGAGGCAAAGGCCACGCTGCAACGTGCTGTGTTCCCATGGGATCCAAGGGAGAAGAATAAAGCAGGTCCAGTGACAGGAACAATGGTCAGCCTAAAGTCCAGATTGCCAGGCAGGTGTGAGATCAAGTCTAGAGGTCAGGAGCAGGGAGGGAGATAAAGCGGTTGGCACGTGTGTATCTAAAAGCTCAGCACAGACCATGAGCAAGGACCTGAACCTAAAAGCAACTCCCCATCAAAGTGGGTGAGGCCCCAAAAAGGCTTCTCACAGCTCCTAACCACAGCTCTTTCTCACACAAGTCCGCTCCAAGGCTGAAGAGCTGGTCCTCAGCACAAGGAGCCAAACTCTCAGAGAGCCTGTTGATGTACTCAGGGGCAATAGAAACCAACACCTTCTCCCATTTAGTGCTCTAGAGAGTTGCCACTTGTCACGTTATCTATGTAAAGGTAAGATTTCTTGTCCGTGTCTGCTTCCTTTGTCCAATTTTTCAATGTCTAATTGTGTGAATGCCGCAAGATTTACTATAGCAAAAGGAATTTTATTTTTTTGTGTATTTAATTTCTCCATTGCTTTGTTTGTGCTGCAGGATGAGCGGATCACACTTACTGCATGAAAACAGCAAAACCAGCACTCAGCTCTCTGTAGTCAAGAGGCTGAAGGTTTCCATCAACGTGGATGCACTGGTCCCAGTCCCTGTGGTGGGATGCTGTGAAGAACTTCCAGTCTCCATTGCCAGCTGTCATATTTGTTTTCATGGCGTTAATCAGAAACTCAGTTTTGCAAGTCCTGACTGCTGCGCTACTACAGAAACAAGTACC